ATACCATCAGCATACCTTACAGTTTTGTCTCTTTAAAAACTCTGTACTTCCTATCTGTGACACAGAGCCCAACAGTGATGAGTGGGAAGCGTTGTCATCCCTGACTTTGTTCTCACTATAATGGAAACACATGTCAACATTAAGGATAGCATTTGGTGGGTGTTTCTGGCAGATACCCTTCATTGTGTTAAAATTCTCCTTCTATACCTAGCTTACTTGGGATTTTTTTCAAAGCAAAGATGAGTCTTGATAGCTTTGCCATCTGTTGACATTGAATTTCTTCTTCCATCCTAAGATTTAGTGATTTCTGCTAATATTTTATATCCTACTGTTAAACTATCCTTGTATGCTTGGAATACATCCTCTTTGCTGGAATGGACTCAATTTGATATTTTAATTAGGGAATTTGTATCAGAATTAGTAAGTGAAAATGGCTTAATTTCCTCTCATCCTCATTCGCTTCCTTCCTTCCTTTCCACCCTCTATATTTAGTTTAGATTCAGATTAGTTAGCTTTATTAAGTGCATCTTGTTTTATGCTCTGGGACAATTAATATAAGACTTATCCCTATCTTGGAAATTTGACATAGCCCTGGTAAAATTACTGGATCTCATGATTTTTTTGAAGGATAGACTTTTGACTCCTTTCTCAATTTCTTCTCTAATTTTTGCTCTATTTATGATTTCTACTTCATTTCTCTCTCTCCCTTTTTTCTCTTCCTCGTTCTCTCTCTCACACATACATATATACATACATACATACATGCAGATATGTTACCTATTTATAAATACTTGTTTTTATTGCCCAAATGTTTAAGGTCCTGCTCTTTGACACAAGTAGATTTGAATGAAATCATTTAAATAAATTACCTCTATCTTTAAATGGAAACAACCCACTTTACTAAAGTCATTTTACTCATTTATGTCATGGTTATGGCAGTAAAAATATGTATTTGATCTTTATACTTGGTTGAGCATGTTACCAAATACCTTATTAATCAAGTAACTTTAAAAGAAAAATAGCTACCTTTCTTTTTTGTTGTTGTTAGATAATAGTCCTTAAGCAAAGAAACTAATCGTATTTCTTTTAGACACTTAACTTTCCTTGGAAAGGCATCTCCATCTCATAGGGCTATTCTCTTAGGATGCAAATGTAGTTCAGTTAAACCCTCTATACCTTTGTCTTAATAGATTCATGAAGAAAAATTGTTTTAAAAGAGCTTCTTTTTACAAATTCAGAATTAGGGATCTTTTGATTACTGATTACCCTGATTACTTTCTGTTTATGCTTAAAGATAGTTTTTCTTATTAGGGTTTTATCTCTTGAAAAGGGGATCACGTCTATGGAAATTGGGGGACTCATTAGTGGGCTGACACTTTCTTCTAAAAAGACTTAATAGGCTCTTGTTCTTCACATAGTGTGTGTTTATTCATTTCTCTCTTCTATAAGCCTGTTGTTTTATTCCGTTTTTTTTTTTTAACCCAAGGAAACTATGTGGTATGAGGCAGAGCACAGTATAGAGCAATGAAAAGCAGAGCTACCGTGGTTGAAGTTGGGGCAGGAAATCTCAGAACCTCTCATGCCTTCTTCTTTCACCTCCCTTTTCCCAGGTAACTCAGAGGGTCTCCTTACATTCTGAGGAGCACAGTTTTAAAATTACTGCAGAGACTGTCTCCTGAGGGCTTGAAAAACTCCTCTGCACCTAGAGAGCATTTTGTATAGATTCACTGACATGTCCACAAACAAGAGTTCTTTTAAAAACCTACCCACATATTGATCTTCTGAATGGCCCACATATTACTTTATGCCTTCTCCTCTTAAGATCTAGCTCATCATAAACCATAATGCTCAGTCCTTTTTCTAAATCTGAAGTAGATAAAAAAAAATGGAATTGTTAAAAATGCAATGAATGATATTTCCATGTGCTAAATGCCCAAAGTGAATGTATAAAGATACCTACTTATACATTTAAAGAAAGGGTTGAGATGGTCTTACTTAGTGGATTCATGAAGAACTGATCTAGTTAACCTGTTTAAGGCCCCCGATGCATTCAGAGGTTTAACCTCTTGGATAATAGTGTAATCTATCCATAACTTCATGATTTGATTGGATTAAACTTCAATAGGTCAGAAAATTGTTTCCTTGCACTTGTATTAAAACTATAATATGATCTGTTGTTTAGTATTATTTGTATGCGGTTTGAACTTTATGGGTGTGTGTGTGTTTGTGAGAGTGTGTGGGCTGTTTTATGTATGTCATGATTCTAAGCTAATATTTGGATTGTATCCACGTTAGGATTTCGGTAACAGGGACTTCACGACCTTGGCTTCTGTGACTTCCCTCTCCTGAGGTGTCTGTTTTGCAGAGGCAGTCCTCATGGTAGAGTTTTAGTTTGCCCTTTTATGAAGAAGGCTACTCCTCTTTGGAATGCTTTTGGCATCCCAGTGGCCCACCCTGGGTCTTTGGGGAAGATGGACACCCCCATCCACCTATCCCCACCACTCAGTTAAGGTGGGAAATAGGTCAAAGCCATTGTCACAGTCAGTGGGCTCTCCTATATGTCAGTAAACTTACCAAACTAAACTTACCTTATGTAAACTCAAACAAAATACTCACATGTTGTCCATGTGACTTTATCCCATCTCCTACATTAGTCCAGGAAGCCAAATTAAGGCTTCCTGTGTGAATAAAAGCAAAACCGAAATAAAATGAATAAGCAAACAAACAACCCCCCACTTTCGACTAATTCCTATAATATTCCAGGAAGACAAATAAAGGCTTCATGTTCAAATAAAGGCACATGGCCAAAATAAGACACACAAAAAATTCAACAACTATCTTACTATCAGAAGGATACAGAAGCCTCCTAATTTTTGAGCAACCATTACTTCTCTCCCATGTGCACTCTAATGAGTGGATGGGTTGAGCTAATGGTAATCCAGAAATTTCAAACACCGATTCTAACAGTGCTTTCAAACATACCTTACTTAGTACACACAACAAGGATTTGGACATGTACTCCAGCCTTTAGACTACTCTACTGTGGGTGAGGGCATACTTGCTACATATATAAACATCTGGTAACAGATAGGGCAGCTCACATAAAATTAAAGTCATTTCCTTTGAAATTTGTCCTTTTGAATTCTTGTTACTTAAAAAAAACTCAATAGTAATACTTCACTTTGTACCATGTACTATGTATGGATTCTTCAGATTATTCTATTACCCGCTACACATTCTTATTTTAGATATGTAAATACTGAAGTTTAGAGAGTATACTAATCAGCTTGGACCAATACCATAATATCATAATACCAAATATCATAGACTGAATGGCTTAAAAATCAGAAATTTATTTTCATGTATTTCTGGAGGATGTAAGGCCTACGTATGAGTGTGGAGGGACATAATTCAGTCCACAGCAGAGAGACTAATCGAATCTCATGAAGTCACAATACTGTTGAAGCAGCAGAATCAGGATTTGAATCCAAGTAGTTTGGCCCTGGAGCCCCAGGGTCAACCCTCTCAAAGCTGTCTCAAAGTCTCATGAATGATTAAAACTTGGCCAAGTTTGTCTTCTAGATCCTCTTACCTTTTTTTCTATGTCCCAACACTCTAAAATTACTCACATGTGGGTTACATAAACGTCTTTACAATTGACATATCCTTTAGTTGCCAAAGTCTCCGCCACTCCCTTTTTTTTGTTTAACACATAGGTTCCACAATTTTACCCACCTGGCCCCTGAAGCCGTACGCATTGTAATCCCTCATTTAGAAGTTTTTTTGGCTTGGGAGGCATCACTTTGTTCCCATTAGAATCCCAGTTGCGGGAGTATTAAGTCAGGCTGTGGCAGGGCTTTAAACACTTCTGAGGTGGCTCTGTCTCCAGGAGCACCATTAACTCAAAAGACTTTGTATTCACTACATTTGGCATGATCTGCTTGAGCTGAATTTGCCTTAACTTCTATTTTAGTTCAAAGACTTTCCAACTCTTTTAAACTCTACTATTGACCTTCAGAATCATTTTGAAAATCACAGTTGACTTTTGATACTATATATATAAAACTTCTCTTTCTGATTTCTGTTTTGATTCCTCCTTCTCCTATGTGTCTGCTCCTCTGAAACCTGTTTTGATCACTTCAAGATGGTGCCCTTGGCCCATATATTCATTCAGGGACCAACTAGCAACACTCCTGGGCCCCCTGGTTTGTCCACTACCTTCCTGCCCTCTCCCTTCCTCTCTGGAACCACTTGCTGATGCTACAGCAAAGTCCAGTCTAAGATAAAGCCAAGTTTGTGCTCTAAATGTGCCAGTCATGCCCTCTCAGTGTTACTTGTACAAAGACGGATAATTTGAGTCAGGACAAAGTAGTAGAAGGGCAGCCAGAAGAATGCTGAATGGCTACAGCCCAAGTGGCAGATAAAATGTCTTTTTTGATGAACATTAATCAGCCAGGGTATACTGCAGGGGAAATACATTACAGGGACTTCGTGAGAGAACATCATGACTGGACCCTAAAATTCATGCTTATATTCACAAGAACTGAATTTCCACACATCCTGACTTTCACGTTGCACCATTCATCTTAAGTAGGAGAATGGACGGGAAACAAATGGCACAACTTGGCAAGTTTTTCTTTTTTTCTTAAAAAAAAAGGCAGATGGTGTTTTGAACACAACTTGCCATAGAACATGAAAGCATAAGAGTTCGGGCTGTTTGAAGGAGAAGAAAAAGGTTGATTTTTTTTTTTTTTAATGGCTAAAACTAGCTGCAGGTTCTCCCAGGGGTTTAAAAGAAAAGAACATTGAGAAGTGGGAGTGAACTGCAAGATAGGGTTTGTATAACAAGTACCTCAAACCACAGAAGTCACATGGGCTCTTTCTGCTTTGCTACTTTTGATTACTTGTCAGAGGGTTATACTTTTCGCTTCCCCCGTCCTGCAAGGCCACTCAACCATGCGCTAGCTGGAGTAATCTTTATTCACAATGTCTCTACAAAGGCTTGTTCAACACAGCAGCAATGGCAATTTGGTGGAGTACTGTGCTGGTCCAGCGTATAGCTCTTACCCTTCCCTCACGAGCAGCTTTCCGATGGATGATAATAGAAGGATTCAAATGCTGGCAGACACTGTGGCTACTTTACCTCGGGGAAGAAAACAGGTAGGATCGCTTATTTTGTACCTTTGAGAGTGTTCATGTTCTCTTAAGAGCAGAGTGATATGTTTGTTTGACTTCATTCTAAAATTGTTATTTTAGAGGCTTTGAAATTAGTGACGAAAGTGAGGATCCTATAGACTAGTCCCAAGATTTAAGGTCACAATAAAACATTTTTTTTCCAAGGCAAAACTTAAGATTGTTTTTCTCCTTTGAAGAGGTGTTCAGGTAAAATGAAAACCATTAAGTGCATCAAACTTGAAGACAGAGTATAGTTTCATGACTAGTTTGAGAACCATTGATATTTTTTTCCCCATATGTCTCTCATTGATTCTTTCCCTCCCAGCCTCACTTTCTGTCCTTGATAGTCATTTCTGTTCATAATCAAAGGAAAGTAGTTTTTTTGAAGACAAATTTTGTTCGCTAAATTATCGGCAGCTCTGGAGCATGGGCACATACCTCATGCTATTGGCAATTAGGACTCATTGGGTGAGTGAGTGCCCGACTGAACATCAGCTCATTCACTTACTACCTGTGGGATCTTGAGCAAGTCACTTGCCTCTCTAATATTCAGTTTTCTTTTTTCTAAAATTAAAGTAATAATGCAACCACCCAAGGGGGCTCTTCTGCCACTTCAGTGAGGAAACGTGCAGTGCTTAACACATTATTGGCATGTAGTATGTGCTTGATGGTACTATAATTGTTATTTTTACTGCAAAGTATTTTCCTAGAGATGAATATTCATTTGGAAAAACCCATGCCCAATTGAATTGATTTTGAGTTTTTTTCATTGTACAACTTCCAATGTATAAAAAATATTATTTTTAACCATAACATCTCTTCGGGTTTTGGCTCTATATCTTGCTTTAATGCTCCAAGTACCTGTCTGAATTTAGACAGAGTGCCTATACACAAAATGTTTAGAACTGTTTTAAGAATGAATTTTACTCTGAAATCTTGCATGTACATCATTTGTTGCTCTTAAGCTTTCTAATTTGAGGATGAAAGAGTTATAGTGGGAGAGTCATGATCTTTTCTAGTGATGTACATAGTTGGTGCCTTGTTATTTTTCACAATGAAGATGAGGACATGATTTTCCATGGTTTAGTTTATTGATCTTTTAAAATCCAAAGTGTTTTTATGACATTAAATTTAATATAGTGATGAATACTTCTGTCAATTTACTATCTGTCCAAAAGTAAAGTATTAGTGGGAAGTACCAAAATCTTTATCCAAGTCTCAGGTATGGTATAAAGATGCAAAAATGAGAACAGGTTTCTTGGCCTTTTGGGGTTTACAATTCAGTAGGCAAACCATATAAGCGTTATAAAATGCAAAACAACATAAATGCTCTAATCCAAGTGCATGTCTTTTAATACAACCTTGAAGGACAAATATTCCCATAGCAAGGGAAAAATGAATGCTGAGGCACAGATCTCCAGGCCTGTAGGGCATGTTTAGGTAAGAGCACAATACTGTGTCAGGAGGACTGAGTAAGTGTCTGTGGGAGGAGCCGGGAGACCTCAGAGCTGAGCTACTTTGCAAAAACACTTGGACACTTCCCTGAGGAAGCACAGGGAGCCACTCAGTGTGTTTGAGAAGTAGAGGTTCCAGGAAACTTTCTCTAGAAATGCACATGTTGTGTCAGTAAGTGAATAGACTAGTGTAACAGAACAACTTCTTCAATGGTTGGAGAAAGAGAGAATGGAGGGAATGAAGGAGAGACCCGAACACTTGAATATGAAAGGCCGTGAGGCTGGAGGAGTTCCTTCTGCCTTCACGCCTGAGTGAGGATAGCATGAAGTGAAAAGAAGCAGTCAGTAGGAGATATTCAGAGGAAGAAAATGTGAGGAACTAAAGCATATGAAATGTACACCTGTGTGTATTATATAATATGTATATGCCCATATATACAAACATGTATATAAATCAGTTAATTTATTTGGATGTTCTCGTCTTTTCTAGGTCTTTTCCCTTTACTCATATTCTTTCCCATGACAGATTCCTCCAATCCAACAGGTTTTTCTTCCTGTTGTGAGAATTACTTTAAGGAAAACTAAAAAAAGCAAAACAAAACCTCATGTACATGATACTTAGGACTCTATATAATTATCATCAGTGAGACTTGATGCAAGTTTATCCCAGCATTTCAGGATTTTCCAAATGGATCTTCATTTCCTTTAACTGGTTTTTAGAGAATAATCATTCATTTGGCACTGACTGAATCGCAGGTAACACGATCCCTGTGAGGCAATCACATGAGCAGGTGTTCCTCTGCCCACTGTTATTTTCAACAATTTCAGGGCTGACGTCAACGATTCATACTTCTCGTTATCGTTGGCTTTGGTTTCTGCAAAGCTGTCTCTGGTTAGCCTGTAGTTTCGGATTAATCTTCAGAATCATTTGGGTGTTGACACTCAGAATTGTTTAAAAATAGGTTTCTGTGTGTGCATATAATCTCAATACCTGTATTTGCAGGAGGTGACAGACACCCCGGTACGGCTTGTGCTCCTGAGCATAGCTTTAGAAAATAATCCCTGCAGTGGAAAACACGACAAGGACGCAGGAGGAAGTAAGGAGAGTCTAGTGGGCATGCCAGAGGCGTGGCAATCGCGCCCTATCTCTCACACCTTCAGGGGAGTGTGTTGCCTTTAGAAAGTGCTTTTCACCGAATGCTGTAGTGAGAACCGGACCTGACAAACAGGTGTTTTAGGCATGGGCATTGGTGTTCCACAAACTGACTCTCTTGGCCTGATCATCTTGTGGTTATGGAGTTATTACTAAATAGGCAACTTCTGGGAGGGAAATTGCCCTTAATCAGACACAGAATATTGTGTTGAATTTTAATCTGTGTATTTCTGGGGTTCTGTTCCTCAGCACCTTTCACAGTTATTTCTGGCCCCACACCCATCTGTTACCCAAACTTCCAAATGTTACTAACTACAACAAGGTATTTTGATCACTTAATGAATACCTCGAGGTAGAAAACCGTTAATTTCACTACAAAAGAATTAGGACATATTCTCTAATCAATACTGAGATGGGATTCGAGTCAGTATCCAACCATTTTTTTTGAAAAAGAGCTTCCAAGTCTGCAATGAGATTTTCCTGGGAGGCCCAGCATTCCGCCTGGGGCTGTTGAGGGTGCTTACAAGTTAGGAAATTGGGTTCAGCTCCGTTATTTTGCCATATCTTTGAATAGTGTGAGGAGTTCTAGCATCCTTAGGTTCCTGACTTAAAAGGGGGAAGAGAAGAGCTGTGTTCAGGGAAGATTTGGGGACACTGGAGGCAGGATCCTGGAAAGGGAGCAGAGCACATGATTTGGGAACTTTTGAAACAAACAATAAAAACAGAGAACTCCTCACCTGTAAATAAGTGTCTTCTCCTCCCCTTCTCTATGCCCACTGCCCACCCCCACCAGTTTCAGGAAATGAGGGCACAGACTAGGGACCAGGAAGTAACAGTCTGTTACTCAGCAGCAAAAGTGGCTACAGTACTGAACTTTGAACTTCTCTAAGGCTGGCTGGCTCTCTGCTTGAGCTGCAGATTACCTCTGTCTTTTGCAAACTGACAGCTGGAATATATGGTCTTGGTGTCTCATTAGGGAGGGATATTGTGAATCACTGCATAGCAGCAAAAATTACATTTTGAATATTAATGCCGGATCTTTAAAGTCAACTGACTAAAAACAAAAGAAGAGGAATCGTAAACTCAACACCAGCCTTCTTTACAGCCAGCAAGGGGTTAAGGAGCTTTGTCTACTCAGCAGTCGTAATTGAATGTGTCGTTTGCAGGCCTGCCAAATTGCTAAACCTAGATTTCTCATATTAGATAATGTGTAATAAAAGACAGCTGTTGCCACATATGCTGTTCGTTGTGCACCAGTTTCTCATTCATGCGTTTTGGTGGCACCACTACAACCCTGAGAAAGGCTCTGGCTGAGGAGCACAGCCTCCACTGCTGAGTCCAGAAGAGGGCTGCTAACTGCAGGAAAAGGGCCACAGGGAAAGCCTCTCAAAGTGTAGCCCTTTACGAAGACCTTAGAGATCCTGTTGACTTAAGCAGATGGTTTGGTGTGCAAGTGAGGTCGAGCCCCGAGAACAGTCCTCTCCACATCGCCTCATGCTGACAGCCCAGGTCAAGAACAAGTAGGCTTTGTGTCCAGTCGTAGTTTGTGTCGGGGAATTTGATGGTGCCTCATTTGTTAAAACAGGTTTTTATTTAAATGTTAGGTGCCTAAAATAGTTTCATTGCTAATCCAGAGTGGAAACTAATTTATAATTGGACTAAGTCTGATTTTTGTGTGTATTGGTGATAACCCAAATCAGTCAGTCCACAGCAATTGAGTAGCTGCTAGGCCAGACAAATATTTCATCTTCAACTAGTCAGTTAGCTAGATAGAAAAGTTAGCAGGAGAGTTGTAGGGAAATTTATTCATAGAGGTCTTGGATTTGCTTTGCAGACAAGCAGACAACTACATAGCTGGATGGTTCCCCCACCTTGTTTTGTACTTATCCAGGCAAAATTAGGCCGAAACAAGCCATACAAATTGTAGTAGCCTTCCACCGTTAATCCTTATAAATTGGAAATAGATACCTTTAAGCAAATTTAGCTAATCTTTATGGGTCTGAGCCTTCCTATTGCAGTCTTTAGGGTGATAAAAATAATTTGAGGTCCAGAACTGACAGAAGGGAAAATGTAATTCATTTATATCCAACTGGTGGGAAGATACCAACTCTCCATTACATTAACTTTACTGACCAATAGGCAAATTCTGAACACTGAACCATTCCAGAAAATTTGTGATAATGCTGGTACGTGGTCATTCAAATTCCTTATTGTGATGTAGGCTTCTCTGCTAACAAATACCTTAATGAGGATTTGCATTAATTTTTTCTACATGTTTTTCTCCTTATCTAGTTCATTTTCTATTTTTGTTTGGACTGATTATGCATTGATCTCCCGACATTTTATGTATTCACTGATATGTGACGAGCATATTAGGATGATAGTTAAACACTGTGGGTTACCTAACAGGGTAAGCTGATGTTTGGGGCCCCTGGACCAACACTTGAGGAAGGGTTGATTAATATTTATCAATTCCTTAAAAAAATAAACAAAATTAAAAAACACAAAAACTCACCACAATCACCTAAATGAGATGCCACCTTTCTTCTATTTATAAGGGTAGAATGTATCCTGGAAGCTGATGTATATATGATTTTTTCTAAAACATGTAGAGAAGTGAAGATGATATTACTTATACCATTTATACTATTCTCAGGTTCCTTTCCTTTCTTGGCTGAAAATCTAACTACACTCTTCCAAAACTATAGTAAAAATAAATTATAAACAGAATTGAGGTTTTGAGCCCCAGCTTTCATCCAAATTGTGTTTCTGTATATGAACTGGTTCTTTAGAGATTACTTGATCCTGCTAAATGAAGCAGCATATTGAACTATTACAATAAATGCAGTCATTTCATCAGCAACTCCAAAAACTATCAAGTATTTGGGTTTTATATGCTGTTGTATGGGTGTTATTTTTCTTTGCACTTCCGTGTGGATTATAATTGCTATGGTTAATCTTTCAGGGCTATTTTAAATACAGATTAGATACAAAGTTCTTTTTGGAAGCTTTGGAGTTTTGCCACATCTCATTAACTCTTTGGACACAGTGTCTTACTGTCAGAGCCTCTTTTATCTTTTAAACGAAATGCTTGAATGTTCCCTTTCCCAATTCTCTTTGCTATCACTAGAGAATGGAAATTACTGCCTTTATGTAACAATTTCCCTTGAGCTGGGCCAGCAGTGATGGAGAACAAAGTCCTTTGTAATTTAGAACATTTTACAGATGTGTCTTAAGGATCTTTTGATAACTACGTGCTTGTTATATTTTTCAGCTTGCTTTGACAAGATCAAGTTCTTTAGGAGACTTTTCCTGGTCTCAAAGGTAAAGAAATTCATTTAATTTTTGGTCTCTCACCAAGATATTTAAGAGTACAGCTCACCAGACTGTTGATAACACATACACACACAGGCACACACACACATTCACATAGTTTACATACATGCCAGCTATTTTTAATTATGACAGTTATTTTTAATGATAAATATGTGCCAGATTTGATAGTTCAATCTTCATGAAGTTTTGTTTTGTTTTTTAATTACAGAAAGCTTGTTACTGTGGAAAAACATGATAATGGAACATTTGGATTTGAAATTCAGGTGGGCAGTTTTGAAATTTTTCAGACTTTTAATGAAAAAAGTGACACTGTAGGGCCATGATCTTTGCAAAGAAAGAGTGGAGTCAGGATGCCGAGTGATGGAACCTGTGACTTTTATTCAATGTGTGATTGTTCAGGGTAGTTTTTCAGTGTGTTGGGTACCATTAAAGGAAGAACATTGAAGAGGATAAAATAAAACCCCTAAGACATGTGCAGCTCCTTGTTTTTGGTTGCCTCAGCCTTCCCATAAGTCTGAGACTGATCAGAAATTCTTGATATCAGCCAGGTCTTAAATAAGAGAGTGAAATACTCTTTATAGATGTGTATTTCATATATTTGCACTTCTGATGTGTTTTGCATAATTGTTTTTATACTGTATATCAGATTTTAAATCTATATTTAGTATTCAATAAATACTTGAAAGCATATGTATTTGGGTATATGGACTACATGTATTCATGTATAGCTCCTTTTAACATTTCAAAAATAATAAAGATTTTGTATTGGATATGAGGAGAAATTTTTACTCTTTATCTTAATGATTACACTTTATAATTATTATTGAAACCCTTACGAACATTTGACTCTACTCACCCGTTGCCTCACACTTTAGGAAAATTTTGACAGTCTATAGATTTCTATGTAATAGTCCCCAAATTTTATTTTTCATTTGCTGCCTGCTTTCCAATGACTGTGTTTGTAAAGATGGTGAGTTAAGTCACATGAAGTCTAGTCTGATTAAGTGCAACAGTAGTAGTTTAAGTTTTACTGTTTTTTTTCCCATTACAATTTTGCATTTCTTTTAGGTATGTTACACATAATCATATTTATAAGGCACAGCAGCATTTAGGTCTTAGTTTTGCTCAGTGCTGCTTTCAGAAAACTTTGCTGACTGAATATCAGCCCCACAACTGTTAAGTCAGTATGTATTTTATGATTAGTAAAACATACTTTATGAATAAAGAAACGCAATGGAACTCTAGCTGCAGTGAGGGAAAAGATGACAGGAGAAAAGAAGATGCCTTCTACTTTCTGAACTCTTCTACTTCTAAATTTGGTGAAATCTGTAATTCTCCCATCAGGCTTTAGAAGCATAGTACCCTCTCTTATTCCCCATTTGGATGAAACCCTCCTTTTTCCGCTGTAGAGACATTGTGCTCTCTGTAACTGCTGCTTTTCCAGTGAGAATCATCCACTAGGATGTGCTGCAGTTGCTGCTGAAAATCAATGAGTTCTTACTTACTTAAATTTAATGTGACGAATAAGGATTTTTTTCTCACTCTTCTATGATATATGTCATTGCTTCCCTGTGTTTCTTCCCCATTCCATAAAAACTTATACTGCATGGAGCAAGAGTCAAAACTACCATTGGTAGACAACAGGTTACAGCACCATGAACCTTGGTAGATCAATCTGCACTCACGGTTTCACCTCTGACCTGCAGGAATCCCACTCTTCCACAAATTCCCTGGTGGTGAAAGCTTTCCATTACCAGCTCCATGCTGTCATATCTTCCCTAGTAGTCATAGATTTGCAGTAGACATCAAAGAGGGGGAAATGTTCTGGGAACTTTTTGAAGACCCAAGAGAGACTCATGTATCCATCATTGTGCACCCATTGTTTACATGTAATAGGGTCCCCATCTATCAGGAGAGGCATCCCTTGGAAGAGAACAAGTCTGTCTTCCTTCATACATTTCCATGGGTGCTAGTTTTGCACTGTTAATAAAAATCATTCAGCATGATAGTAATACACACTATAGATTCATGCACACCTAGTGGGGTGTGCGTGAATGCTGCCTTATGGAGTTCTTATGAGTTTCAAATGAAATACCAAATACCAAGTACTTAGTAATGTGCCTGGTACCAGTAGAAGATCAGCAAATGACAGGTGTTAGAATGAAGGTCATTGGGCAGGAGAAGGGGTAATGTGACTTTTTTCTCTGAGAAATGCAGATGATCCTTCTGTCACTGGCCCCTAAAAATGGAAACTAGAAACCTGGATGAGAGAAAGAATCTGACTAATCCTTTTGTTCCATAATTTTAGGACATCTGCTTTTTCTTCTCTATCTCTAACCCACAAATTTTACACCTGTTGCAAACACATACACAGTTGCCAGCTGCACAAATCAACAGGCTTCCTTTCCCTGTACTCCGGTCACCGGACATGGAGGGTAAAATCTGACTACTAATGAGAATCACTGTAGCAGTGGTTGAGTGCCTGTTGCAGCTTTGGATCATGTATTACACGAACTAGACCACCTTTCCCTCTCTGGAAGGGTCTGGGATGGGGCAAGAAGACACCCTCATAAACAAGCTGTTAAAAGGGACATAGATAGGAAGTATATTACATGATCTTTAAAAGTCCCTTCTACCTTTGAGGTGTGGTATTCCAAATGAAAAGAAATCCCATAGAAGTTAAAATCAAGTTTCTGTAAATTACTTGTACATGACTGACTTCTGGTTCTGGAGCCTGTATGTCTATAAAATAAGAGTTAATGAACATCAGACATTAATTTCTCCACAAGAAAGCAGTACTGTAATGTGATTTAATTTTAGGAATCAGATGTTTAAAGATACCGATCCAGTTCAGAATGCTGGTTTTGATCCTATATGAAACTAAACTTCCTAAGCTAAACGTGCAAAAAAAGAAAAATATGTTCATTATAGTCACTGGGACACTGTATCTTGCAAGTATTTATGCAGTGTTCTTAGTACAATTTGAAAAAACAAAAAAAAAAAAACAGAATCAAGCTGTTTTTGCCAGCCTGAGGCGAGAGGTGAAGCATTACCTTTTCTAATTTAGCTGGGTGACTAATGAACTGGGAGGTATTCAGGGCAGGCACACCAGACAGAACTCAGAAATGAAAGTAATTGAGTCAATTATAGTACTTTTGAATTAATGCAGTGCAGATTGTCATTATTTGCAGAACTCTGATTTAAAATAATTATTGTGGGTATATCTGCCTGGCTGGATGTGTACTGTTTCATGGGCTCCTGTAATGAGTGCTTTAGCTTGGGAAAACCATATAGAGGTTTTTCTCTTTGCTCTTAGCCACTATTATTTTATCCTTTGGGAAATGAGAAATGTAACTTCTTTTTTTATCATTTTAATAATTTTTTTATTAAGATATTATTGATATACACTCTTATGAAGGTTTCACATCAAAGACACTGTGCTTACTACATTCACCCATATTATCAAGTCCCCCCCGTACCCCACTGAAGTCACTGTCCAGCAGTGTAGTAAGATGCCACAGAGCCACTAATCTTCTCTATGTTACAATGTCTTCCCCGTCACCCCCACCCCCCCACCATGTGTACTAATCATAATACTGTTCAATCCCCTTATCCCTCCCTCCCCACCCACCATCCCCCTCCCCTCCCCTTTGGTAGCCGCTAGTCCCTTCTTGGAGTCTCTGAATCTGCTGCTGTTTTGTTCCTTTAGTTATGCTTTGTTTGTTATACTCCACAAATGAGGGAAATCATTTGTACTTGTCTTTCTCCACCTAGCTTATTTCACTGAGTATAATACTCTCTAACTCCATCCATGTTGTTGCAAATGGTAGGATTTGTTTTCTTTTCATTGCTGAATAGTATTCCATTGTGTATATGTACCACCTCTTCTTTATCCATTCATCTACTGATGGACACTTAGGTTGCTTCCATATCTTGGCACTTGCAAATAGTGCTGCAGTAAACATAGAGGTGCTTATGTCTTTTTGAATCTGAGATCTTACTTTATTTCGGTAAATTCCTAGGAGTGGAATTCCCAGGTCAAATGGTATTTCTATTTTTAGTTATTTGAGGAACCTCCATATTGCTTTCCACAATGGTTCAGCTAATTTACATTCCCACCAGCAGTGTAGGAGGGTTCGCCTTTTTCTGCATCCTCGCCAGCATTTGTTGTTCCTTGTGTTTTGGATGCTGGCCATCCTAACTGATGTGAGGTGATATCTCATTGTGGTTTTAATTTGCATTTCCCTGATAATTAGCAATGTGGAGCATCTTTTCATATGCCTGTTTTTGGTGAAGTATCTGTTCATATCCACCACCCATTTTTTAATAGGGTTATTTGCTTTTTGGGTGCTGAGGCATGCGAGTTCTTTATATATTTTGGATGTTAACCCCTTGCCAGATATGTCATTTACAAATATATTCTTCCATACTGTAGGATGCCTTTTTGTTCTACTGATGGTGTCCTTTGCTGTACAGAAGCTTTTTAGTTTGACATAGTCCCATTTGTTCATATTTGCTTATTTTTCCCTTGCCTGAGGAGATGTGTTCAGGAAAAAGTTGCTCATGTTTATATTCAAGAGATTTTTGCCTATGTTTTCCTCTAAGAGTTTTACAGTTTCATGACTTACATTCAGGTCTTTGATCCATTTCGAGTTTACTTTTGTGTATGGAGTTAGACAATAATACAGTTTCATTCTCTTACATGTAGCTGTACAGTTTTGCCAACACCAGCTGTTGAAGAGGCTGTCATTTCCCCATTGTATATCCATGGCTCCTTTATCTTATATTAACTGACCATATATGCTTGAGTTTATATCTGGGCTCTCTATTCTGTTCCATTGATCTATTCTTCAAAATTCTCCATGTGCATTTGAGAAGAATGTGTATCCTGCTGCTTTAGGGTGGAGTGTTCTATAGAATGTCTGTTAGGTCCATCTGTTCTAATGTGTTGTTCAGTGCCTCTGTCTCCTTACTTATTTTCTGTCTGGTTGATCTGTCCTTTGGAGTGAGTGATGTGTTAAAGTCTCCTAAAATGAATGCATTGCATTCAATATCCCCCTTTAATTCTGTTAGTATTTGTTTCACATATGTAAGTACTCCTGTGTTAGGTGAATAGATATTTACAATGGTTATATCCTCTTGTTGGACTGACCCCTTTATCATTATGTAATGTCCTTCTTTGTCTCTTGTTACCTTCTTTGTTACTTTTAGTACACAGACTAAAAGTGAAGGGATGGAAAAGATATTTCATTCAACTTCTGCTTTTTTTCTCCCTATTAGTTGCATGAAATATCTTTTCCATCCCTTCACTTTCAGTCTGTGTATGTCTTTGAGTTTGAAGTGAGTCTCTTGTAGGCAGCATATAGATGGGTCTTGTTTTTTTATGAATTCAGTGACTCTGTGTCTTTTGATTGGTGCATTCAGACCATTTACATTTAGGGTGATTTATTGATAGGTATGTACTTATTACCATTGCAGGCTTTAGATTTGTGGTTACCAAAGGTTCAAGGGTAACTTCCTTATTATCTAACAGTCTAACTTAACTCACTCAGTATGCAATTACAAACACAATCTAAAGGTTCTCTTTTTTTCCTCCTTTTTCTTGCTCCTCCATTCTTTATATATTAGTTATCATATTCTGTACTCTGTCTATCCCTTGACCGATTTTAGGGATAGTTGATTTGATTTTGCATTTGCTTAGTAATTCATTGTTCTGCTTTCTTTACTGTGGTTTTATTTCCTCTGGTGACAGCTATTTGGCCTTAGGAACACTTCCATCTATAGATGTCCCTCCAAAGTACACTGTAGAGACTGTTTGTGGGAGGTAAATTCTCTCAGCTTTTGCTTAACTGGAAATTGTTTAATCCCTCCTTCAAATTTAAATGATAGTCTTGCCAGATAGAGTATTCTTGGTTCAGGACTTTCTGCTTTATTGCATTAAATATGTCATGCCATTCCCTTCTGCCCTGTAAGGTTTCTTCTGAGAAGTCTGATGATAGCCTTATGAGTTTTCCTTTCTTTGTGATCTTTTTTCTATCTCTGGCTGCTTTTAATAGTCTGTCTTTATCCTTGATCTTTGCCATTTTAATTATTATATGTCTTGGTGTTGTCTTCTTGGTCCCTTATATTGGTAGATCTGTGCACCTCCATGCCCTGAGAGACTATGTCCTTCCCCAGATTGGGGAGGTTCTCAGCTATTAACTCCTCAAAAACACTTTCTATCCCTTTTTATCTCTCTCCTTCTTCTGGTACCTCTATAATGTAAATATTGTTCCATTTGTGTTGGTCACACAGTTCTGTTAATATTCTTTCATTCCTAGAGATCCTTTCTTCTCCCTGTACCTCAACTTCTTTGTATTCCTCTTTTCTAATTTCTGTTTCATTCACTGTCTCCTCTACTTCATCTAATCTGCTTTTAAATCCCTTCATTGTATGTTTCATTTCAGATACTGTATTCTTAAAGTTTGTATCTCATTCTTGAATTCCTCCCTGGGTTTCTTGAATATTTTTCTGTAGCTCCTTGAGCATGTTTATGGTTTTTATTTTGAAATCTCTTTCAGGAAGATTGATTTGTTCAGTTTCACTTGTTCCTCTTTCTGGTGTATGAGGGATTTTGGGTTGAACTGAATTCCTTTGGCATTTCATATTTGTAGGTGTTGCCCTTTAGTGCCCAGAAGCTCTACTCTCTGGAGTTGCTCAGCCCTGGAGTGATGGCAGGGGTTGCAGGCACTGGTGTCTGTAGGCAGGAAAGAGCTCTTTCCTGCTTCCCAGCTGCAGTGCCTGCCTCCACTGCCAGGGCCAGTGGGCCGAGTGTGCAGGGAGAAGCCTGATGATTTGCACTTGTAGCTGCCATAGGTGGGGCCACTCTCTGGCTGGCCTGGCACAAAAGTGGGGGTAGCTGGTTTGTGATCTAGTGCTGGAGGGGAGGAAGGCACAGCAGGCTGTGTAATGCAGTGAGGGGCCTTGTACCTGTGTAGCCAGCCACTGGGATAGAGTGCCTGAAGCTCCTGAAAGTTCTCAACCTGCTGAACAGAGTATGCCTGGAGAATTTTGTCCACCTGTCTTTTCTCCTGAGCAGCAGGCTCTGTACAATCCTTGCCCCTTTAGCAGCCCTCTTGATGCTAGGAAGTCTGTCATGCTGCCTGCCTTTCTTTTGTCCTAGAGCAGCCAGTTTTGGATGTGTGTTCTCCACAAGCGGCTGTAATCTCAGTCTCTCCAAGTATTCCACCTGTCTTAGTTTTCCAAACCCACTAATCTCCAGAGCACTATGTAATGTAGGTCTGTGCTCTCAGAGCAGATCTCCAGGGCTGGGTGTTCAGTAGTCCTAGGCCTCCACCCCTTCTGGCTCTGTTTCTCTTCCTCCCTCCAGTGAACTGGGGTGGAGGAAGGGCTTGAGTCCCTGCAGATCACGGCTTTGTTACTTTACCCTTTTCCTTGAGGTCTGCTGTTTTCCCCAGTTGTAGGTGGTCTGCTACAGCCTCCTTTCCTGTTGCTCTTTCAGGATTAGATGTATTTGCTATATTTTCATTTTATGTGTGGTTTTGGGAGGAGGTTCCTGTCTCACCTCTCACACCACCATCTTTAAGCCTCTCTGTAGTTTCTTGATAAATATGCAATAACAGAAGCATCAGGTGGCCTCTTGGGCTTAAACATGTAAAATCTTGTACCAGAGACTTATCCTAATTTCTTTCTGAAGCCAGATTTTATTTTTTTTAAATAATGGGATTGACTACAGATTGGTAGAATTGCAAGATTGGTAGCTTTGATTTAGTTTATATCAAGGAAAGACTTTCTAAATGGTTCTTTTCACTTATTTATTATATCACTTCAGGTAAGTGATACTATTTTACTTTTTGACAAACAGATTTTGAGTTTCTGGACGACTAATGATGCATCATTCTAATTTTTACAGACTTACAGGCTCCCGAATCAGAACACTTGGTCCTCAGATATATGCACTCTGGTCTGCAAAATCCAGGAGGATAGCCCAGCACACTGCGCTGGCTTGCAAGCTGGTAACTTACAACTTTGCTCATGTTAGGAATTATTTAAATAGCAAGACAAGAAAACTTTTTAATAGTGAAGATCAGGACATGATTGTGGCTTTGAATTTTCTTAGCTCCGGTGTGTTTCTAATGTTTGGGGCTTGCTTATTTTGTTTCATTTGCATGTTAGGAGGGATTATTGAACAAAACGTTTTAAAACTCATTTTTCTCGGCATCTCCTAGGTGATGTCCTTGCAAATATCAATGGTGTGAGCACAGAAGGCTTTACCCACAAACAAGTTGTTGACCTGATCAGATCTTCAGGAAACCTGCTCACGTAACTATTTGCTTCTCTTGGGCCTTTGAAAACGTCCTGGTGTCTCGTAATGCCTGTTGAGTGAATGAATAGGCTTTTTGTTCAAGTACACAAGAAGGGAGGCAGTGCACCATAGCTTTGGGCTGGGTACAGTCCCTTTCATCAGTTCCTTTTGTTTCTCAAGGTTTCCTCAGATTTGAACATGCTGTCAACATCTGAAGTCAGGGGACATCAATAGCCCAAAGTCTATATAGGAGGGAGGGCATTTTAACAATTTTTTTATATGTCAAATTCAATCAAACTGGCACAGCTTCTTTTTGGACAGAGAGGAGTTGGTCCAGTTTTCATGGTTGATATAATCTTGTGCTTAGAAAAAATAAGAGGTCTGAAAGGCTGAGTTTTTCCTTTTACCACAAGCCAATTGTTTTCCTCTTCTAGTGTTCCATTTGCAAGGAAGAGCAAAGTCTGAGCAGCCCTCCCTGCCCTGCAAACACACACACTCATGTCTACTAGCATTCCAGACTTGCTAATGGGATCTCTCCGCAGTTAGAGATCTGACTCTTTCACCATACTATCCCTACAACCTAATGCCATCTTACTAATCAGTTAAAAGATGGAATTTGCTCGTTTGTTCAAATAGCATTTATTGAGCTTCTACTATGTTTCCAGCTCCATGAAAGGCTCAGGGGTGACAAAGACTCTTCTAATGCTTTATTAATTGTGGAAGGGGATGGATAGGAAAAGCCTGCAAAATAAATAACTTTAATAGTTCAATTATTGATTACTGACATGAAGGAAGTAAAAAAAGAAAGGGAATAGGGTACTGAGTTTAGCTTAGGTGTTGAAAATGGTCCTTGGAGGAGGGGACATTTGAGTAAAGAATTAAATGACGAGATGGGATGGTGGTATGGATCCCAGGTGAGAGCAGTTCGGGTAAAGAGAGAGGTCTCTTGTTTTCAAAATGGGCTTGGCACATCCAAGAGATAGAAAACCAGTATGATGGTGGTTGGTGGATTAGGGGGGGTATTGAAATGAAGACAGAGTTGGCTAGGTGATACAACAGGGGCTCATCAGCCAGGCCAAGTAGTTTGCGATTTATTCTACTTAAGGTTGGTCCTGCATTATCTCACTCGTTCTTCACAGCTACTTTGTGAGGTTAGTTTTACTCATTTATGGATGAAGAGATTGAGGCTTGAATGAGGTCTAGTTAAGATCAACCACTCAGCAAGTGACAGGGTTGGGGTTTGATCATCTGCTCTCAATGTTGGGATCTTTCTCTTAGCTACACCACAGCTGCTCATTGCAAACTGCCAATAGGAAATCTGCAAGGTGCTCTTCCGTGTTCTAGTCTATAACTTGAAAGGATGTTTGTATGTGAGCAGTTTTGAAAGGTGACTGGGGGTATTAGAGGACAGAGTCCAAATCTATGGATCCTATGAGCTCAGGGTAAAGGATAGGTACCCTCGTGCTCTAGAGAAACATGAATCCATAAGGTAGGAACTATACAGAGTCCAAGAGAAAATGCTGGCAGTTAGAATCAGAAACCTATGTTCCAAGTAGATGAAGTCAATAGATCTTAGGTGGATAAATAAGGAGTAATGGGAAGAGACAAATGGCAATCTAGTGATCAGGAAATTGAGACAGTTTGTACAAATACTGAAGAGAATGACCAATCTATGTCTGTGGCTTTGCACTAGACAGCTAATGCTGGGTAGGTCAGACCAACATTGAGTCATACCAAACAAATTCATAAGGATGCTCACTGTTTCCCGAAGTCAAGACCACACTAAGGAGAAAGCAGACAGTATTTTGGCTTCCTATCGCCTCATTATCTTGGGTATAATGCTATTAGAAAGAGAGGAAAATTGGCTTCCATGTTTAATGCTGTTATTTTACCATGCCTTGAAAAATTCCCTGCATTTTTATAGATAAAGAGTTACGGCTTATTTATCAGAAGGAATATGAACCAATATTTTTTAAATGCTTAGGTATGTGACTCACGTGTTAAGTTTGTTATTCAGATCGATAGCTTAGAAGGCAAATGAAAGCCTAATGTGAACCTACAAAACAAATCAACTCAGAATAGATCAAGTCTTTTGATTTTTAGAAACACATTTGGTATGGAGAGAAAAGAACACCATTAAATTAAGAATTCTAGGATTAAAGTTTTTAAATTTAAAAGGTTTTGGATGAGAGAATCATATGAAGGTTATTATCTCATAGTATTTCTGGTTCTATTTGTTCTAGTTGCAAAATTAAGTCAAACTACAGAGGTAAAATTTCCTAGATTCCTTGGGAGGAAAGGATTTTTCCCTGTTAGGGAGGAGAGGATTTTTGCCCGTTTCAAGAAATGGCATGTTGGTTCCATTGTGTGAATCCCTAGTGCCTATTGTTTTCATTGCAGAAAACATTGTTTCATTCTTACCACGGTGTCTAAACTCTGGCACATAGTAGATGTCTGATAAATATTCACCAAGTAAAAGATGTGATTCAGCAGACCCACAAGAATAGATTCTAGTAGAGAACAACTATCATTGCCATATACTGGCTTCCAGAAAATGAGCTACAGTTTACAAATTAGCTGGAATGTTTTCTTTCAGCCACCCTCTCAAGGGGAGTTTTGTTTTTGTTGTGTTGTTTTCCATTTTCTTTCTCTGAGTGTCGTTGGAAGCTTTGACTCAGGTCTACATACTTGAAGTGCCATGAGAATCGTAACACTTTTGTTGCTTTTTAAGTATAGTCTGTGATCAAAGTGTAGCACTCCATCAGGATGGTACTTGTTTGGAAGTATCACTCATGCTGTTCCCTTCCACCCTTTTTCCTTAACACAGGATAGAGACTCTTAATGGAACAATGATTCTCAAAAGAACAGAGCTTGAAGCAAAGATGCAAGTTTTAAAGGTAATTTAATTTAATACAGTCAGGCACATTTTTCATCCCTGAATGTGTGAGTGGTAGAATAAAAATCTATTTGAGGAATTGAAATAGCCCTTGAAAAGGAAATGTCGTGATGAGTTTAAACTGCTGAATTATCAAGAGCCACACAATTACCTTTGCAGGAATATTAAATTCCACAAACTAGTGCAAATCACTTCCTTCCTCCTTCTCTGTGTCTATGAGGCTCAGAAAGGCAACAGGAAGGCGCATCACTTGAAGATCTTTTTATTAATGCACCTGTAGTCTCTCTTGATCTACATTTTGTTTGAAAAAAAAAACAAAAAAAAAAAGAAGGAGGAGCTTGTCTTCCCATGATTTTCCCAAGTGCTGCATGCATGTGCAGGAGGGCCTGGAATTTTTGCTTTTCCATTGTCTGCCTCTGTGTCCTTTCATTCTGCCACGTTCTCATTACAGAAATTATCTTCTCCTGTGGTTGTCCTTGAATGTACTTTCATTGGCAAACACACTATCAACTCTGAAAAGGAAAAGAATTTGAGTTTCCAGAAGAGAGTGCTTAACATGGGATGCTCTGTGAAAATTCCTTGGGATGGTTATTTGAGGGTCTTAAAAAACCTGTTTGCCAGTTTGGTGAGGCTCTGCCAGCCCATGAAGTCCAGCTCCTCACTCATGTGCATGTTCATCATGGCCTCGCAGACCCCTCCTCCAGCCCAGATGACCTCTGTATCCCCATGACTCCCCCTGCGTGGTCATGTGCTACCAGTCTGAGCAGGGAATGCAAGGCTTTCTACTAGAGGCTGGCTGAGCACTCGGACTTTGCTTAGAATAGCTGCCATTTATTAGTTTTCTTTAAGAAATATGCACTTCTGAATTACTGAGCCCATGAGGGTGGAGTTCTATGTTCATATTTTACCTTGTATTTTCTTCCTCCGCATCTATATCATCAACTTCTTTGATAACATTGGTTTTATACTTTTGCCAGTTTGCTTAACCCTGTGATATTTTCAACTGACTTATATAATTCTTTGAAAAACAATCCTCTTTTCAGATTTAGATAGGAAGTGAATTGCATTTATAGAATAAATATCAATTGATGTCTTTATGTTTTTTCCAGTTTTCTTACATCAAACACAGGATCTTAATCTTTTAATTCAGGTCTTTTATGTACTTCAAAAACATTTTGTAATTAATTTATTAATATGTTTTTATATCTTTTTTATGTTGTGTACTAATTTTTTACATATCTTTTATCATAGTTATTCTTATGTATCTTCTCATTTTTCTTTTCATAATAAATATGAGCTTTTACTTTTAAAAATCTTTTAATTTTTTTTACTGATCTTCGTGTAAATTTTTAAATCTAGTAGTCTTGCTGAACAACTTTTATTCTAATGATTTGTAGATTCTCTTAGATTCTATTTAAACATAATATCATGTGCAGATAACGAAAGTTTTGCTCCTTTACCCTCAGTTATTTAATTAATTTATTTTTCTTTTCTTATAACATTGGCTAAGACTTTCAGCATATTGTAATTAGTGATAGGCTTATTATTGACTTTGAGGGAAATGCCTCTAACATTTTATCATTAAATTTTTGTAAGGAGAATACAGTACTTTGTATTACACATAGATTTTTAAAATAGTCAATTTGTTTTTGCAAAAGAGATAGTATTTGTGAACATCTTTCTTTTCTTAAAGTATAACTGGCTTTTTCAGCCTTTTGTAAAAAAAGGAAAGAAATGTTCAAAATAAACTGGTGATGTTATGTAAGTGATAAGATAGGTTATATTTCATGGAATAATGTATTATCTTGCACAACAGAAGTATTTCATGCTTCTAAACAATTTGTGTCCTTTGAACATTTTCTCCTGAGGCTTTAATATACATACTTAACTATTATTATTTCTAGTGATGTATGAATTTTTTCAATATCTCCATCCTCTCCAGAACGTCATGAGAATCTTAACATATTTAAATGTCCATTTAAAATCCTATCCTCCTTATTATTGCTTTACATTAGAGAGTTTTGTCAGTTTTTAACATGAAAACATAGTTTTTTTTCTCTAAATAACTGGTAGTGAACAAATATACTGACATGTTAAACTCATGTTTTCTGTTGTCTCCTGCATTCTGTTTCTTACCTCCGGCTTTACTTTCCTTCCTTCTGAATACTTCCTCAGTGAGGGTAAGTAGGTTCTTCTCTGTTGAAAAATGTCTTTATTTCCACTGCTAATATTGAAAGAAAGTTTTGCTAGATAACGGAATTATTCTGTTGATGTTTTGCCCCCTTAGGATTTTGAATGTATTGTTCCTTTGGTATTTTTATTCATGACAGAGCTCCTAATTATTTATCCTTTGTAAGTAATCTGAATTTTCTGTGTTTTCCTCTGAAAGTTTTAAAGTTTTTCCTTGTTACACATGAATTCTTAATACATCCAGAACTAATCTTTCTATATAGTATATCAAGGAATCCACCTTTATTTTTTCTTCTTATGAATACTCAGTTCTCCCAGTGCCATTTATTTTCCAATTATTTCCCCCCATCTGACGTGCAGTGAAGCTTCTCTTTTTAAGCAAGTTCCATATAAGCATGGATTTTATTATAGGCTTCCTATTCTGATCCATTGGTCACTTTGTTTATCTGAAACTCAGTTATTATACCCTCATAATAAATATTGGTAGCTGGTTGGGCAAATGTTCCAGGTTATTTTTGGTCCTTTGATCATCTGTATAAACTTTAGAATCAGATTACAAGTTCCATAAATGAATGTTGGAGGTAAATTGATATCACAACTTAGATCAATTTGAGGAGATTTGACATCTGTATGGTATTGAGTTTTCTTAATGATTGAAAATCTCACCATTCTTGTTTAAGTCTTTTAATTAAATCTTAAAATTTTATGTATAGATCTTATATCTTTTGTTGGATTTATTCCTTTGTACATTATGATTTTTGTTATAGTTTCTTATAAAAATAGCTATTTTGATTAAGTTTAGTGTATAGATATGTAACATCAATTTTTCTGTGCTGCTATTAGGTTCAAACTAAATTAAACTATTCATAAACTATATACTTTCTAATAAATTATCTGTAGATGATTTTGGGTTTTCTATGATGATAATAACTGCTAAGAATGACATTAAATTATTTTTCTTACTTTACGGTGCTGGCTAGGGCCCACAATACAGTGATGAATAGAAACTGTAATAATTGGCATCCTTGTTTTATTCTTGGTTTTAAAGGGAATTCTTCCCATTCTTTCCCTATCAGAAATGAGCTGTCTCTGTGAACCATAGTTTTCACATTGAGGAGGCTTCCTTCTATACTAAGTTTACTGGGAATATTTTTAACGCTTGTAAATTTTATCAAGTACCTTTTTCTGTATGCATTAAGATGGTCTTGTTTATTTATTTTTTAAAATCTGTCAGTATGGTTAATGACACTTAAAGATTTTCTAATGTGAAACTACTCTTTCATTTCCAGAATAAACCCCACCTGGTCACAATTTGTAATCATTCTTTATGTACTTGTAGATTTGCTTTGCTGACATTTTATTTAAGATTTTTGAAGGTAACTTCATTTACAGGTAGAATGGCCTGTAGTTTTCTTTTCTCAGACTATCATTCTTTAGTCTTGGTATTGTGTTTACTGGACTTTTAGCATGAGCTGGGGAGAATCTTCCCCTTTTTATTCTCTGATAGAATTCTTGTAACACCAGCTGAGTCATCTGGGTTTGGGGTTCTTTCTGGTGAAGTACTTCTGACCTCTGCTTCAGTTTCTGTACTAGTTATAAGACTACTCGGATATTCTGTTTTGTTTTGTTTTTGGAGCCAGTTTTATGGAATTAAGTTTTTGTGAATAAAGTTTTCAAATTTTTATAAAAAGATGATGATACAAATTCTGTTCTCATCTTTTTCTCCCTTCACAACTGTGATTATGTCTCCATTTTTGTTTGTACTACTTCTTAAACCTTTTCTTATTTTTTTTTTCCTTGGCAATTTTCTTTAGAACATTTTCTATTTTTGAGTCTTTTCAAAAACTGTTATTTGGATTTGTGTTTTTATCTGTTTCTGGTTGCTTTTAAGGTGTGCTTTTGTCTTTACTCATTTACCGTTGCACCATAATGTGATTAGGTCTAGATTCATTTCGAAATCTGTGCTTAGAACTTGCAGTAGCCTTTCAATCTAATGACTTGTGACTTTCTTAAGTTTTGGGAAACTATCACCTTGATCTTTTTGAATATATCTGGCTCACCATTCCTCACTTAATTGTCTTCTGGAATCCATATTAGACATATTTTAGACTCTCTTCATCTACATTCCATGCTTCCTAACCACTCTCTCATATTGTGTATCACTTTACCTTTGTTTTATTATGTTCTTCTTAAATTCTTTAGTAGCATCTTCAGTAATATCATCTGTGTTCTGTACAGGATGTGTTCTCTCCACTGAGTTTTAAAAATTGAGTAACTTTTATTTCTCAAGTAGTTCTTTTTTATGTCTATCTCTTCTTGTTTTATTTCTTTGTTTCAAATTTCTTGTCCTGATCAGCACTGATTTTCTTTCTTCCTCAGAGGATTATAAACATTCTTTAAAAAAATTTTTTTTTGGATGCCATTGTATGTTCATTTTATTTGGAGCAACTCCATGTGCTAATTATCACTTTGGTTGTCTTTTTTTATCATTCAAGCTTTGGAGTTTAGATCACCCGCTTCCCTTGTATGATGGCTTCTCTGTTCCTCTCAGTAGGATAGTTGGGCGGTTGCTTTAACTCTTCACTTAAAGATTCCCAATCTAGAGCCAGATCTGGCAGCTGGAAGCCTTCCCTGGAGGCTCAGTGTGTGCTTGGCTCAGGTCACAGGCTATGTTTTTGCACTCTCGCCTCTTGGCACAGGCTCCACATGAGCGACTGCTGCCGTCAGCAGTTTTCCTCAGCCTCCTTTTCATGGTGGCGGAGCTCTAGCTAAGGTTCTTTTCTCGAGCAGAAACCTTGTCTCTGTCATCCGCTTCAGATAAGTGCATTTGAACTACATATGACCACGGGATCCAAATCCTAGCTACTTCTCTCTGCTTCCGCACGTCCAGCGGACCTTTGGGTGCACGCCTGCTTACTTTCTTTCTTTTCTGTTCCTTTTCTAATCTTGAAATTACGAGATTTCCAGTTCATCTCTTGAGCCAGAAATGTCTGGGTCTGACTTATAACCAGGGTCAGGCTGGCTTCCCCCTCACACAATGACATTTAGTCTGTGTGTCCTCTTAAGTGTGCTTTCTATCCCTTAAAGACTCTCTGTGGAGCCACAAGCTCTTTAGAAACAGTGGTCCTTTCCGAGGATTTTTTCAGGAATTCCCTTTCTCATGACCTATGATTCAAATGTTGAACATGAAAACAGCACATCCAATGTGCTGTCTGGGGAAACTATTTTTTAATCTAGCTCTACTATCTAGGGGATTTGTAGCCCTTGAGAAACATTTTGCTACATTGAACCTTTGTTTTTCTGATATGGACCTTTTAAAGACAGTTAAGAAAGTTCAACAGCATATTATCTGTGAGAGTGCCATACAATTAGTTAAGTGCCATGGAAATGGTTAACTATATATCTCATGTAGGTGGAGAACATTAGAATTATATCAAATACAAAATCATCTCTGATAAATTGAGTGATGCTTTAGGAAGCCATTCTTTCACATATTCATTCAACCAGTATTTACTGAGCAGCTGCTATGTAGGTATTGAGCTAGGCTCAGTGAATTGATGCGGCCCATTATGGTTAGATATCAATGTGCTTTAATCTTCTAACAGTGAGAGGTTAGATTTGTCCAAATATACAACTGTGATGTTAATAACAGGCAGAAACAGACTCAGAGAAAATTAGGGCCACTTAGGTATAGACTAAAAAGTTTCAGTCACTTTGACACATCTGCTCTTTTCAGTGGTATTTTCTTGGTTTAAGTGACGACATACTTAGATGACAGGGCCAAATCAACAGATTATATATTTTAAAACCTTTATTTTCACAGAAATGAACTATTTGGCAAGCCGTGACTTTATATTTTTACACTTACAGAATTTATGAAGAAATACAGCTTCCTCTTTTCTCTGTGTTTAGTCTTGGCTGTCAGCCTATCCTTGTGCTCCTCTACCGGACTCTCCTCGCTTGTAGGAGACAAACCTTTCTAAGAAAGAAGAAAAGGGTTGCTATACAGTAGTCCCTCCCTCCACCTCATGCCAAGACCCCCAGTGGACGTCTGAAACTGTGGATTGTATCAAACCCTGTATCTACTGTTTTTCCTATACATAGATACTAATGATAAACTTTAATTTATAAACTAGGCACAGTAAGAGATTAACAGCAATAACTAATAATAAAATAGAATAGCAAAACAATACACTGTAACAAAAGTTATGTAAGTGTGATCTCTCTCTGTCAAATATCTTATTGTACTGTTCTCATGCTTCTTCTTTTGATGATGTGAGTTGATAAAAACACCTATGTGATGCGATAAAGTGAGGTGAATGATGTGGGTAATTTGATGAGGGGTTAGGCTACTGTTGACCTTCTCATGACACCATCAGAAGGAAGATCATCTGCTTCCCAGCCATGGATAACTGAAACCATGGGAAGTGAAACTGTGGATACGAGGAGACTACTGTTTATGTCAGATCCTTGCTAGTTCGATGCTCCTCAGGTCTCTAACTCTGCCCTTCATGTGTCTACAGGTGCACACAGATACCAAGAACTGTGATCAGGTAGTTGAGCAGTCTTATAGCCATATAAACTATATTATAGTATAGAAAGAGCATGGAATTAACCTAGCCAGGCATTTTCTGGCTTTGATTTCACCACTTACAGATTGTACTGGCAACCATAATGATTGCTGCTAAATGTTACTGTTATCAAGGCTTGGAAAATCCTGCCTGGTGGCTATTCAGTTGGAGAGCTAAGGAGCCAGCTGTTTTTCACTTACATTTAATGACATTTAATGACATTCTTGTAATTTTATTTTATTTTCCTTAGACCTTCCTCTTCTAATTGTGCTTTTTATCCTTCTTCCTTTTTAACCTTCATCTGCCCCTCCCAGATTGCTTTTTTACAAAGGGCTGTTTGTTTCCAAGTAGGCTGCTTTTCCTTTCGGGATAAGTGTACACGGGCAAACCTGAACTAGGCCACCTTGTGGAGCTTGCTGTGGGGACCCGGAATGGCAAACAGGGCTAGAAGAGAAGACACCAAGCAGGAGGGAGAATGGGCCGTTGGCTGTGCCTTGTCAGATGGCTTCAGCCTGGTTTGGTTTCAATTCCCTTTGCCTGAGAGCAATCAGTGGGCGAGGCCAGGCCTCACATGCAGTCTTGACCATGAGAGCAGCCGCTTCATTCCCACCCTGGGCCCCTGTTCCCACGTGCTGGCAGCTGACAAGTTAAGAAGTCAGGGTGCTTTACAGTGTTCTAAGGTTAGCCCTCCAAGGGAGCCTCCCAAAACAGGTCAGCGTCTCCTTTTTTGGTGTGGAGAATACATAGATGTCCAGAGAAAAGATTGTTTCAGTACCCCAGGCTTATAGGATGATGACGGTATTTATTGAACCTTTTCTGCCTTCTAGTCACTCATGTGCACAGTTTATATCTACCAACTCATTTCATCCTCATCTCAATCCCAGGGTTTAGGTTCTATTACTGTCTTTATTTTACAGGTCAGGGGATAAGCCTAGAGTGTATATTCTTGCCTAAATAGCTAGTAAATGGACACAAACTCAAGCAGTCTGGTTTTATATTTTTAAAAATAAAAGTGTATAAATGCAATTGTTTCTATTGTCTATTGTATCTATTGAAACAAAGTCATTGTTTCAACTTGTTGGTGCTTCTAGATTATTTTTTGACAAAGTAGTATTCCCAATATCCCTCTTTTATACAGAAAAAGGAATCTTCCCAATGAATAGGCTGGGTTGTTGGTGTTAGCAAGAAAGTACAACAATCTAATGAGCTATCTCAACACCTAGAAGTATTGCTATCTGCACTGGGGTTTCCTAATAATTAGCACTTTTTTTCTTCTTTCTCAGCAAACCCTGAAGAAAAAATGGGTGGAGTTCAGATCTCTGCAGTTACAGGAACAACGCCTGCTTCATGGTAAGTGTAATTTCCTGCTCAGAAACCACAGTATAGTTCATCCGTTCAGTATTTCTGCTTCTAAACTGTTTTAAGATTATCATCATTATAAGAATTGTCTAGCATGGATCCAGAATGCTAGTCTGTGTGCCTCTGGCATGACCTTTGGAGTGACCTGTGTATTTGGAGGAGTACTAAGTCAAGTCACGCTCCCTCCTCCATACACATAACATACGTACACAAAAATATGTGTGTGCATGCTTGCAAGAGGTACCTGGAGATTTTAGAAGGACAGTAGAAATGACTGCCTGATTTCCCTACTACTTTAGCAGATTAATTAAATTCCTGAGAATGTTCATGGTTGTGCAGTTCTCAGAAACTATTGAGGTTAGGATGGTAGCATGCTTCTCAGGAGGAGCTCCTATCATTGCTTGAAATGTGTAAGTTACATTAAGGCAGACAAATCCTTCTTTGTGCGCCCCCAAGCCGAAAACAGACGTGTGAATGATCATTAATCGTCAGGAAATGCATAGCTCTTGCCATTGTATGGCAAGTGAAATCTAAAGGGAAGGGTTCAATCTAAAATTTGTTGATTTGACATTTGCTGTGTGACTGGTGTAACCTGAGGAATGAACTTGTATGTATAAATAATTCACTGAAAGCATTAGCTAGGTTGGTGTTAAATATAGGTTATATCTTCTTCAGGTCATATCAAGCTAAAGTCTCTATTTATGACCTAAAATATCTGTTGAAAGTGATAGTCTGTTTACTAGAAGAAAAAGATACATTTAATTATTAATTAAGTATTAATTTATAGCTTAGAGGTTTGTGTTTAAGTTGCATTATTTTTTAAAAATGAAACTTATGTGTGAATTACTTCTCTATTTTATGTTTTTAAGTTACTATTTTTTAAAACTCCGTAATAGACTTTTTGGGGGTCTGAAGTTTGCTTAGCAAGCAAGACAAAGGTACCAAATCCAGCCACTGTGTGGAATTCTGTAGACTTAAGGATGTTCGGAAAACCTTTGCCTCCACTTTTGGAGCATCCTGGAGTAGAGATGGGGTTTGGCCTGTCAAGTGTAGGCAGTCCTGGAGTCCCACAGGAATGGCCTTGTGTAGACAAAGTCCTTAGTTTGGGAGCAAGGAGATGGACTGACTCCTCATGAGGCCATCCTTGTACACATTTTTTGAGACTGAAGGAATTCTTCTTTTAGTTTATTTTTTCTAGACCTAGATCAATATCCAGGGCATGAGGTTGTGCAAGGCAACCACTCTCCAGTCAAAAGAAATTCATCAACTGATTGCAGGAAGGAGTAAAGCAGGTTGGATTAGCAACAAGGAAAGCCTATGACTAGCCACTGTAGGGGTGGCTATCCTGAAACTTGCAGATCAAATGGAAAAGTAAACAGTGTCTTTTTATATTGTCAACCAAGGACAAAGCAGAGGGAATCAGCACAAAACAAAACCACTTTTAAGTGTGCGATGTTCTATTACTTCTCCCAAAGCAGAGTCTCCTACTATGCCTTTCTCAGCCCAGTGTTTCAAATGATCTCCTTTTTTAGCAACACACCAACAAACTTAGAACAAGCACAGAAACAAGTGGGGTGTGATCAGATGTGGGTGCATGACAGAGATTTGAGTTTGGAGAACTCAGCTGTGGGTTTTAAAAGGTTGATGAAAAAACTCATCTAAGAAGACAAAATTCAGTTTCATTAAATGAATTATTTTTGGGGGACAGGCATGTTTTCTGATACAGTACCCTTCAACAACATTTCAGTAATAAAGTACTCTAGGAAAAAATTTGATATTAAGATTGAGGCTGGAAGATATCCTTTTGGTTTTAAACACCTTTGAATTCTCTATAATCAGCCCAGAGGTTCAGGCTTTATAACTGCTTCCTATATACTTTAAATGATGTTATAAGTAGTCTTACAATTTTTAAAGGACAATAACTCAAAATCAGAGGAGCTAAATGGAGGCAGTCCATCAGACAGCACTTCCCCATGTATGTTCTTCAAAACTCCATTTCTGTGAGAACTTTAATAAAAGGTTTTAGGGCCACCTCAGTTTAAGAAATGATTCTTTTGGAGATTCACAAGTCACACTGGCATCCTGTTGGATGAGTTGAACCCTTCTCCTATGAAGATTCTTGTTTAAATTGATTTAATCTAATATTACCATATTGCTGACTGTGGCCTCTTTTTATGTGGAAGCTAGTCCATGAACGATAGTTTGGGAAATGCTACTATAAAGTTCATTAGGTGACCCCTTAAACAGCTACTTAATCATGCAAGTCAAAGCTCATTAAAAAAATATTATTCATCTCTGCTCTTTGTTGTACCCTTTGAAGAGAAATTTTGGTGTCTTTACCTGTAGGGAGTGATGCTCAGATCCATTGCACAGCGCAGACTTTGTTTTCTGCATTCTAGGTGATGCATCTAACTGCCCAAGTTTGGAAAACACGGACGTGGATGAATCAACTTTGTTTGGAACCCTGCCTGGGCCAGGCCCGGCCCCGCTGGAGCGGCATCGGTTATCCAGCGCGAGCAGCTGCAAGAGCTGGTTGAGCTCCGTGACCATGGACAGCGAGGATGGCGACCAGACCGGTGTGTCCGAGAACTCGAGCAGGGGAGCCTTCAGCCGGCAGACGAGCACCGACGACGAGTGTTTTGTCCCCAAAGATGGGGATGATCCTCTGAAGAGGTCTTCCTCGAGGAAGAACCGGAGTGTTAGTACCGCCAGCAGCGGGTCCCTGTCTCCCTTGTGGGAGGGCAACTCCTCAAGCCTGTTTGGGACCCTGCCCCGGAAAAGCAGGAGGGGAAGTGTCCGGAAACAACTCTTAAAATTCATCCCCGGCCTTCACCGCGCTGTGGAAGAAGAAGAGAGTCGCTTTTGATGGGCCGTGATGCCCTTGGTGTTTGCTTATTTCGGAAATATCTTTAGACTCGTGCAGCGCAACTCCACTAGTGGGAAAGTGCAGATGGACTGCAAAACTGACATCCCGTGTCCTGGCAACTGTGACCTCTGTTTAAATGTTTGTACCATTATTTTTTTTGCTTGTTAAGTCATTTTTCCACTAGGACAGCTCAAGTTCTAAGCAGACAGAGAGGAAACTAAGTAATAAGTTTGATACTATATATAACAAGTTAAGGCAAGTATCTGATCATTTGAATGCTGCCTCTGAAGGCAAGAGTAATATTTATTTTCTAGATTATCCATGTGAAAAAAAACAGAACGTTTTGGAATCAAGTGTGAATAAAAGAGAGACAGACTATAATTATTTGAAATCGCTTCCATAGTCTAATTGGTAGGTTACAAAAACTATTTGCTTCTGAGGAGGCTGAATAATAGGCAACTTTTAATCTTTCTGTTCAAATCTAGGAAGGATCATAAACAAAGGTGTCAGCACCATTTCTCACTTCCGCAGTGACAATAAAGTGAGAAATATAAGATTTAATGGGGGCTTAATCTTCATGAGAGCAATGGAAGGATGTTATCTAAAAATGTGCTGAGGAAGATTATAAGGTCTTTTTTATCGGCAGCCCAAACAAAATGGGTGGGAATGTCATTCTTACCTCATTCAAATTTTGTTCTGCCTAAAACATTGATGACAAGCCCAGAACCCTCAAGATCCTATAGTTTGTGGGGTTTTTAAAACTAAATGTTTAAAATTTGAGAAATTAGAGTCGGGAAAATGATGTTCCTCCTGGAGATTTTTTTCACATTACTCCTCACTTCATAGTACGTATTCCAAATATTGCCTCAGCACTATTTTGCCTATTACTTATGTTAGTATCACGTTCCTTATAGCCTTGCAATCACATGCTTATTCAAAGCACATTAAAGTACATGATTTCTCTATTTTGATGATACAATTGCTCATTACCTCTGTTCTAGAGTTGAGTAATTCAGACAAGGTAACTAATAGTCCTTACAGATTTTGAGCTGGGTTGTGTGTGTGTGTGTGTGTGTGTGTGTGTGTGTGGAAGCGTGTGTATGTGTCTGTGTGTTTGGGGAAAATAGAGACATTTGATAGTCCACTTTGGTGACTACACTTAAATAAACTGAGTAAAGTATGAGTCATTTTGAGGGGAAAAGAAAGGAAAGGTAAGGAAGCTTGTAGGGTTAGAAATAAATAACAAAAGAAAATAGAAGATCTCTTATTGGGACCTGCTTTTTATTAATTCTTTGAACTCAGGAGCATTCAGTGGACCCTGCTTGAGAAGCATTCACAGGAAAAGCAGAGTGCAGCACATTTCACAGGAACTATAGTAACCCTGTCTACCATTTACTGAATGCAAGTAGGTTAGAGATGATTCCCATGAGATCTCTGAAATCACCCTGTAGATACGAGTAAGGTGAACAGATAAGAAAGCAGGCATTCAAAGTTTCTGTCATGGTCAGTGGCCATGCTGAAATTGGAAGCCAGTTCAGTAAGCCTGTTCTCTTAGTATCTCTAAACATTGTTTACTCTTCTGCTGGTTCCGTATAGTTACAGCCAGAGGACCCCCTCCCTCTTCCCCCAGGAATACTTAAAATGCACAAATATAGGTACTGTATCAGTGAGGAAATTGTCTTTGGTAAATAGGAAGACCAACATATTTAGTATGACTCTTTCTCCTAGTCTCTACAGGCAAGTTTTCAGATATAAGCACATTAATAACTTCATTGTTAGCAATACATTTATGTTCAACAAGGGTTTGCAAAACAGTCATAATTAAACTGATATTATTTCTCATTGCAGACGTGAATTATCATGTTGAAGATGTCCTTACATGAACACAGCATTTCTTGTTAATCCTATTTTGTCAGGTCTAGGGGAAAGACATGTCACATCTATTTGGGGAAGGATGACTTTAAGGTGTTCTATAGTGTAAACAATGTTTCAAGAACTTCCACAGATGATCTGGGAAAGCAGAAGATAAGTCATTTGCTTTTCTTGTGGCTTTACCTACTAAATACAGTGTAATGCTTTGTTACAGTAAACATCAAACCCTACAAAGGGCAGAGATGGGAGAGAGCAAGTTTCACTGTAATCTGTGATAAGAATTAGTGTCAAGAGTTGGCTATGTTCTGGAAAAAAAAGCAAAGCACTTTTTAACCAAAGTACAGGAAGGAAAGGTATATCATGTCTTGGGTGTTCACAAGTTGCAAGAAAACCAGCTGTTGTTTAGTGGAAATGTGGGTAAATTTCTCACAGTAGAACTTTTCAGATTGAGACTGACCTTATTGGGGCTCTAAGAGATTTTATAAACTAATCCAGCAATGGTTCACTTTGATGTAATTTACTAGGTAAAGGATTGAAAAGAAGGTTTTTTTAACCCCAAAGTTGTCAAATATGTAATATGGACAAATTGAATTAATTGGCAATTTGTTATGAAAATGAACTTTTCTAGTATGACACTGATAAACCAAATTCGAATCAAGCACACTGGGAGTTAGTCTGTCATGTGGCTAAAGAAACATCACCATGTCAAACAGGTGGGAACTATATTTTTTGAAATGAACTTTTTAAAAATCATTTTCTAATTTATAATACTTTTATATTTTAATTGCACATACAATCAGTATTAAAAACCTAGTCTGAATGGAAGAAATCAAACTGGGACATAGTTTGTGTATTGGTATTGATCATAAAATTATGTATTTGTGGATATATACAACCTAAGTACTGTAAATAATACATAACAACTATATTGAACCCTTTAGGTCACAAAATTATTGGAACTTTAGTTCCTTACAGATCTATGGGCAATAAAAATTTGATTCCTTTCTGAAATAAATAATGCTTTTCTTCAATACCAGAATTTTCTTCTCTCTCTCTCTCTCTCTCTCTCTATTTCTATCTCTATCTCTGCCTCTTTACCTACCTACCTTAAATAAAATGTTTTCAAAGCAGATTTTAGAAATCTGGGCTGACCTTTTAACACTTACCTCTTTAAGGTTCTTAAAGGCATTACCCACTTAATGGAGGCTTTGTATGTATATTAGTTTTCGGTTATTTAACAAATTACTATAAATTTAGAGGTTAAAACACATTTATTATCTCAAAGTTTCTGTGGTTTGTAAGTATTGGCAAAGCTTAGCTGGGTTTGCTCAGGGACTCATGAGGCTGCATTCAAGGTGTCACCCAGGGTTGAGTTCTCACCTGGAGGCTTGACTGGGGAAGAATTTACTATGAAGTTCTCTCAGATTGTAGTCAGAATAATTTCCTGTGACCACAGGTTTTGTGACAGCTTGCTTATTAAAAGTCAGAAATGGAAAGAAAGAGGGAGACTGTAAGCAAGACAGAGTCATAAATAATACAATATAACTGCAGGAATGACATCCCATCATCTTTGACATAAAACAGAACATAATCACAGAGTGACATTCCCCCAACTGTGTCATATTATGTTGATTAGGCACATGCCTCAGGACCTACCCACACTAAAAAAGCCAGGCTTACAGAAAGGCATGACATCAGGAGGTGGGGACCTGGGGACTACCTCGATCTGGGTACACCACCGTTCAGGGAGTTCACAAAATTAATAATATAAAGACATTGCATCTTCTCTAAACTTTGAGTAAACATAAATGGTGAATGTTACCATTTTTAATTTTTACATAGAGAAATGGTAAGATTAAAGACCTTTGAAATTAAAGAACCTCACCAAGACAGTATAACTAGCCAAGAAACTGAGTAGGGAACTGAATCCAAACCTATTATTGACCTCACAGCTTTGTCCAACAGTTGCATGAAATGATAGGAAATTTCAAGAGAACATTAAAGAGTGAACCAGTTACTTGTTTTCAAATTCTGCTCAGGGATTCAGTGTACTTAAGGGAAGTCAGTGATTGGCATGCTGGACTTTATCACTTCTATGTGTGTATGTCTTTATGAGCAGAAGACAGGAACTCCACAGAAAAACAAAACAAAACTCTCATAATCAAAACTGAGAAGCACAAAAGGAAATGATTAACCATAAAAAAGTCAGGAAATAGCACAAATAGTAGAACTATTAAAACTTGAGGATATAAAATAATTTAAAAGAATGTAAAACACATATATCTTAGGATAACTCACTCAACTTGATAACATTTACAAAGAAAACTCTATAGTTAATATCACAATACTATTGTACTGAAGGTACAAGCTAGTGTGCTAAACAAGGAAAGCATACAAAAGGTATGCAAATTGGGAAGGAAGAAATAAAACTGCGTTTGTTTGCAGATGACATAATTGTATATGTGGGAAATCCCAAAGAATCAGTAACAACAAAAATTCTGGAACTAATAACTGAGTGTAGCAAGGTCACAGCATACAAATTACTATAAGTAATAAATAAAAGTCAGTTTCCTAGGTAACAGCAATGAACAATTGGAGCTTAAGATTGAACAGTACCTTTTATAATATGACCAAAAAATGAAAATCTTAGGTATAAACCTGACAAAACATGTGTAGAATCCAAATGTGGAAAACTAAAACTCTGATGAAAGAAATCCAAGAAAGTCTAAATAAATAGATAATCTGTGCTCATGGATTGGAACACTCAATTGTGATAAGTTTTCAGTTCTTCCTGACTTAATGTATAGATGTAGTGAAATCCCAAAGTTTCAGCAAGCTATTTTGTAGACATTAACAAATTGATTCTAAAGTTTTTATGTCAAGGCAAAAGACTCGCCAACGTAATGAAGAAGGAGAAGGAAGAAGAAAAAGAAAGAGAAGAGGAAAAGGAGGGGGAGGTTGGAGGAATCACAATACTCAATTTCTAGACTATCTACAAATCTACAATAATAAAGACAGTACAGTATTGGCAAAAGAATAGAAATACAGACCACTGAAACAGAACAGAGAACCCAGAAATAGACCTATACAAATAGTCACTGATCTTTGACAAAGGAGTACTGACAGTTAAAAGGGGAAAGGACAGTGTTTTCAACAAATAGTTCTGGGACAATTGGATATCCATATGAAAAACACATTTCACAAAATTAACTCAAAATCGATCATAAATCTAGATGTAAAACATAAAAGTGTAAAAATTCTAGAAGATAACACAGGGGAAAGTCTCCATGTCCTCGGGTCTGGTGATGATTTTTTGGATACACCAAAAGGATGATTCATGAAAGAAATAATTGATACATTGGTCATATTAAAAATTTCTGCTCTGGGATAGACCCTGTTAAAAGTATCAAAAGAAAAGTCATAGACTGGAAGAAAATAGTCACAAAACATATACTTGAAGAATGACTTGTCACCAAAATATAAATTCAGCTTTTAAAATTGAAAAATAGGAACACAAACAACCCTATTGAAGCATGTTCAGTGGATCTGAACAAACACATCTCCAAAGATGATACATAGGCAGCAAATAAGTGTATTAAATAACTCAATATCGTCTGTCATTTGGGATTTGAAAATTGAAATGCGGTTAGATACTACTGCATGGCTATTAGTATGAGTAAAATCCAAAAAACTGATAATATCAATTGCTGGGAAGATGTGGAGCAACAGGAATGCTCTTTCCTTGTTGCTAGGAATGCAAAATAGTACAGTCACTTTGGAAGACAGTTTGGCAGTTTTTTTACAAAGCTGAACCTATTCTGACCATGTGATCCAGCAATCATGCTCCTAGGTATTTGCCCAACTGATTTGAAACATGCCCACAGAAGAACCCACACACAAATATTTGTAACAGCTTTATTCACCATCACCAAAAATCTGAAACAACTAAAATATCCTTTAATAGGCTAATGGATGAACAAAGTGTGGCACATCCATATAATAGAATGTTATTCAGCTATTAAAAACATGAACTTTTAAGCCAGAAAAAGACATGATGAATCTTAAGTACATGTTTCTAACTTAAAGAAGTTAGTCTGACAGGGCTATTTATTGCATGATTCCATTCATGCGACATTCTGGAAAAGGCAATACTGTAGCAATAGTGAAAAGATCAGTGGTTTCCAGGGCCTTGGGGGTAGGGTTGGGTGGTCTGTGAGTGTGTGTGTGTGTGTGTGTGTGTGTGTGTGTGTGTGTGTGTGTGTAAGTCAGTCTGGAGCAGAGCCTTGGGGGATGGGAATGACTATTTAAGGACAAAACAGCCATCTGCAAAGCAGGAAAAGAGGTCTCACCAGAACCCAAACCCCGCCAGAATCTCTTCCTTGAACTGGATCTGGAACCAGGATTCAGAATTGTGAAAAAATAAATTTCTGTTGTTAAAGCCTCTAGTCTGTGGAATTTTGTTATAGTATCCCAAGCAGACTAAGACAAGAGTGTTAAAACTATCCTGTGTGATACTGTCATTGTGGATACATAACACCATGTATTTGTCAAAACTCAGAGAACTTTATGGCATGAAGAATGACTCTTAATGTATGCAAATTAACAAAAACTCACTTAGGAGGTTGGGGTTCCTCAGATTGAATGCAGAATGTGACAAGACAGTCTAACTCTATGACTAACGTAAGAAACAACCTACTTGAGAAAGTAGGAAAAGGAGCTGACCTAAATAACATTGAAAATGATTGGAGTTTATAAAATTCAAGGCAAAAGAAACTATATATAAACATTGTGCTCTAGCTGAAAAGTTTGTTTCCCTTGAGGGTACCAGTTAACCAGTCTCATACTGCCATACATATGCATTGGAACTGAATACTTAATAAATAAACGACTGATTATGGGAGCCAGATTTTTCTCTATTGGAGTGGGAGATTATGGATAAGCAAAGAAAGAGGCTAGAACAACCCATGAGGAAATGGGTTAGAGTTGGGAGCATCAGTATTCACTCAATATCAGCTTAATAGAGATAAAGATGATTATGTAAAAAAAATATTTATAGATATTATATACATAAGTTAATTTACATACACACATTAAGTTGCTCTGTCTGCTGGGAGGGCCTTGAAGAAATGATGCCCTAGTAGCAATGAGCATACTTAGTATCAAGATCTTGGTTTCTAATACCATTATTTGATAAAAGAAAACAGCTTTCCTTGGAGAAATGATTAATTCTAGGACTGGGGCCAGAAGGTACAAGAAGCACCTGGAGAATTTTGTAGTGTTAGAATGTAAGGAAATATTTAAAATACATAACAAAACCTCACATTGATAGGTATATATAAAAGGTGGATAGAAGCCAAATGAATGAGCTTCTAATAGCTAAACATGGAACAGTTTGAGTACAAAAAAAGTAAAAGAGTATTGGATTATAACCCAAAATATAAAATAAATGTCCATGGATGAATCTATACTGATTTAGGTAGATGATGGGATAAATAATAAACGGGGTAAAAAGGCAAATCTCCCATGCAGAAGAATTCCATCTAATTCATGTAGCTATTCCTCCCTGAAACAGGTGGAGAATAACACCCCATTGCTTAAGCATGATGACTTTGTTCTAAAAAGTATAGCATAGAAAGGGGAGGAAAAAAGCAACTCTGTGTGGAGATACTGAACAAACACTACGTCAGTCAGGTGTCATCGTCAACATCAGTAGTGACAAGTCATGTTGATAATAAGTATGCTTGATACGATGTAGTGAGAATAACACTATGATGTAGTGAGAATGACACTTTATCTCTGTGGTCTTCACCCCCAAACCAATAACTTGAGTCTAGTAATGAGGAAAACATCAGACAAATCCCAGTTTAGAGACATTCTGTAAAATACCAATCACTACTTCTCAATACTGTCAAGGTCATCAAAAAGAAGCCTGAGAAACTGTTACAGCCAAGAGAAGCCTAGGTAGACATGATGACTGAATGTAGTATGGTACCCTGGATGGCATTCTGGAA